GAGCACTGGCTACGCCCCAGAATAATTTGGTTTATTATTATTTTTTTTCGTTGCCGAGCTTCCTGCCTCCTCATCGCTCCCGGTTCCGGCGAAGGGTGTTTTAACTCTCGCCTTATTTTTTGCTGTAAACTGCCAAAGTCCGGGCAGGGACAGCCGGGCGTCTGTGCTCGCCGGGATGAACCACCCAGGCAATACTGCGAGTTAATTGTTCACGGACGCTCCTGGAGCTGATCCTCCCTTCTGCTCACGTGATAATTAAGAAACGGGGCTTTCCAATTAAAAAAAAAACCAACAAAACCACAACACACTAACAAAACAACTCATCAGTGTTCCGTCCGGCTTTGTCTCTTCCTCGGGCTGACTTCTCCTCTCTCCCGCAGGACAATATCCCACCCAGCCGTCCTACCCCGTCCAGTCCCCCGCCAACCCCGCCGTGTACCCACAGACCGTGCCCCTTCCGCAGCCGCCGCCTTACACGGATGCACCTCCTGCTTATTCCGAGGTAGGCCAGATGCTTCTCTGAAGGTTTTATTTTCTTCCGGGGCCCCTCCAAAAGGCAAAAAAAAAAAAAAAAAAAAAAAATCTGATTAAGTTTATAGCTGCAATATTGATTTTTTTTTTTAAATTTTTTTTGTTTTTGCTGATTTGCCGCTCGGCAGCAGTCGGTGCCCAGGTTCTCTTTTATGAGATCTGGATCGTCCGCTCAAAGTGATGAATGTTCAGAGCTTCCCCTTGAGTTAAGATGACAAATTTAGCTCACCCGTCGCTGTAAAACACGTCTACGATAATCTCTCTTAGTTGGATTCCTGCAGGTAGTGGGGAAAAACTCTCTTTTTTCCCCAAAGTAAACGCTCAGGGAAGGGGATTCCCTTGTGCGAGCAGGAGGGTAAAGGTCCGCGTCAGGGCTGGAGCTCTGACGTCAGAGCTGAATAAACAACTGGATGTGGGGAAGAACAAGCCTCTAAACTTGCTTGCGCGGCTTTTTTTCCGCCCCCCAGCTTTACCGTCCCAGCTTCGTGCCTCTGGGGGCTGCCACCGTACCGACAATGTCCGCGGCGTATCCGGGCGCTTCCGTCTTCCTGCCCGTGGCCCAGTCTGTGGCCGTGGGTCCGATCGGCTCGTCGGTCCCGATGGCGTATTACCCCGTGGGACCGGTTTATCCTCCGGGCTCGACGGTCCTTGTCGAAGGTGGTTTTGATGCCGGAGCAAGGTTTGGGGCTGGTGGAACAGCCAGCATCCCCGTAAGTACAAATGTATCCTCAAAACCCCGCGTGCTTCAGCGTTAGAGGTTCGCAGATGGTAGTGGGGGAGAAGATGTCCTTTTTTTTTCTGAGAAAAACATATTTCTTTCCTGATCCGTCATTTGGGAGAGGAGTAGGCTCCTACTTTCATGCTCAGGGTTTGCTCTCTCTGGCCAGCCTGTGGCTCTGGAGCCACGCGGGCTCGCGGGTGGTTCTGGCTCGC